AGAATCCTTTTGGCCATAGGTGACAGCACTAATGTGAATACTGGCTGGGAGGGAGGAGTAATGCCTGAGGTAGAGGCCAAGCTCGGCAGAAAGTTGGTGTGGATTGTCTGTGACTCGCACACGGGGGAGCCGAGTCTCAGACACCTAGTAACTGCACTGGATGGAAAGACATTGAGCAACAACAAGTGGTCGGGGCCTTTAGGGAAGATGTTAGACACTTCCACTGAACTGGAGATCAGCCCAAGGCTCAAAAGGATCACTGTTGGTCCTCCTCTACCCAATCTCAGCGCAGACCAATTATATGGATACAGAATCATCACGGTCAACAGAACAAAAGAGGTAACTCAGAGTCTAGCTCTCTTGTAGATTGGGCCATTCCTGTCACAGTAGGTGGCTCACCACTGCTCTGCTTTAACGTTATGCAGATTGTGGATTTCCAAACCTGGGCTGAAGGGTAGGAACCTGAAACATCTGAGGATAATTGTGGAATTCATAGTGGGAGTCTATATGCCAAACTGCTTCAGCATCAAGTTAAGTCACAGCTGGGTGGAGGGTCCCAGGTATGTACTGTAAAAGCTGAAACTGCTCACAAGTCAGACGAAGGAGTTCGTAGGAATAGTGATGCCTACAGTGAAGAGATCAGTCTGGTATGCACACTCTGAGGCTGTGCTTCAGGCCATTCTGTGTAGTGAGGTGGAGGAGGAGAGGAGGGAAGCTGTGAAAAGGATACTGGAAATCAGAGGTGAGGGAGATGAGGACACAAAGGTAGGAGACTGCAGTGTCTGACCCAGGGGGACTCCTAACGTCAACCCAGATGCCATCAAACTCTCGGAGCTTATTGAATGGAACTCTGGGGTAACCGATCCTCCTCTGGCATGCTCCTTCTCCACTGCTGCAATCATGGAGTTTCTGGATAGACCAATGGAAGTTCCTACATGGCCTACACACACACACACACACACACACAGTTAGTAGAGAGTTGTGTAAGGATTAAAACTGAAGCAGCACAACATGTTTACTCAAAAGAGATGGAGGCGTACATCAGGGGCCAAGTGGCCAGTAGGGAGCTCGTGTCCAGGAGCAGGAGCAAGGAAGACATGGCCACCTTGGTAAAGTTCAAGAATTCTGTCTGGTAAAATGTCGTTACATACAATAAAAATATGCAAAATTTGCAAATTTTTCGTGAATTTCAACAAAAAATATAAGTAGCTAGGGGTGGTCAAATCCGAATTTTGAAGCCATATTTCGATTATCATATAAAATGTATAATTTTGGTCTCTAGAGATTTTGAAACTCTTAAATTTTCCACTTTGCGCGCTTAAATTGACATATTCACAACTCCTGTTCTTTCGCATCCCCTTATCTCCAAATTCATTTTGCCCAGTAACGTTGTTGGAATTTTACTTTTGCCATCCACCTCACAACTTTAAGCAGTGATCTTAAATTTGTTTGAAACCAAGCTGTTAGTCCTATAATTAAGTGAAACATTCTGATGAATTCAGTTTCTTTTCCAGAGGAACCATTATTGTCCTTATGAAATTTCCCTGCCATTCTTTTTATATGACTCTCCTAGTAAGGACTAGGACCTCTTTGCCAAGTTCTTCGAGAATTCCATTATTATTCCTTCAACAAGATAAACTTTCTTTATTTTTATATTCGTCTATTTCAGCTCAAACTACTCCTTTAAAAATTATCAGGCTGTTTGTCGTCATTATACTAATTTTTTCCAAACAAATTTGTTAAATCTTAGGGTTTCCTTTTTATTTTACAACTCTTAATGTGTTCTTCCCACTTGTTCCTCTTTCTATTGGACTCAAACTACAACTATCCATTTATCATCTATCTCATTAGGTTGGATGCTTATATGAGCAATAGGGGTTGGGTGTAAACGGGACTGCCCAGTATGGGCCAATAGGCCCGCTGCAGTTTCCTCCATTCTTATGTTCCTATTCTTGTTCAACCCGTGACCTTCCTATCTCTTTCGTCCACCTGGCCTGACACTCCTTTTTTATCCGGCTTCTTTTGTTCTACATGCTAATTATGTCACTACACTGCTTTTACATTGTTGCTTTCTTGTAAATTCCTTCTTAAGTCTTCAGTCTTCCAGTATTTGTAACATTTTGTCTCTGAACTAAGGTTTTGTGCCTCACAATCATTATTCCATTTGTTTTCCTTGCATCTTCTATAATCATTTACTTTTCATTCAATTCTCTGTACTCTACCTTAGTCATAGTCTCCTTTTACTCCTCAGTCTTTTAACAAATATTTCCACTCTAAAATTCAGTCCCATCTTCAGTTTTTACTGTAATTTTATCAGCACGAGGGTTTGGGTAGCCTCTGTCCACTTCCCATCTGCAAGATTTCTTGACGCTCTTCCTGCATCTGTTTCAAACTAGTACAGTATGTAACCAAGTTGATACCCTTTTGTATTACCCAGTATCTGTATCTCTTTCTCTGTTGTTTGAATTAGGTATCTGTCACTATCAGTTGATACCTCTTGCAAAATTACAATGCTCTCTCAATTCTGCAGTTCGTTTTTCCTTGTTCAAAACCTCCTATTTGTTTGCCTCCAGTCTACTTATTATAGTGGTTTCCTTTAATGCTATCAATCAGCCGTTCTCTTTCCTTGTGCACATAAAACACGCTGTCCTCCTTTTTTGGCTCTGTACCACATCGACAGTGTTAGTTGGTTACCGTCTACCTCCCCAAATACAATTGTCACTCCTTTATTACTTTGTTTTCCAACTTCCTTGTAGCTTTATTTATCCAGAATAATTACTGATTCCTCTCTCTAACTATGTACCCTTCCTGAATGTATCACCTGGCAACTGTCACTCAGAAAGGCGTCTTTGACTTTCCACTTAATTCTACTGAGAGTGTGTTACCCGGTGAGAGTCAGCATCACTGCTTCCTCAAGTAAATCTCCTCTTACGCTCTAGATATGATCAACCCACCACCTGGTGACTGTTGTACACTCACACACACTACAGTATAGCAAAATATCTCCAACAATCTTTAAGTTAATTATTTGATAATTTCTTATTCCCTTATAATAGCTTATTAGATCAGTATTAACATAAGAAATACGAAAGTGTAATTTGCTCACTCAGGTAATGTACTGATCACACGTGATTTTGTAATGTAGAGTTGTACAAGTATAGATGAGTTTTGGTTGAAACTCATATTTGATTTTTGTATTTGTTTGGCTTTACTCATATGACGACAGCATTAACAAATGCCTATTACCTACTACTTATTGTTTCTTTACTATTCATGATTACTTTCAACAATATACTGCCTGTCAACTTCTTCCTACTGTTTACAATCTGTCATCAGTGTCTAATACCTTTAATTCCTGTGTATTACTTTTGTGTACTATCTACTATTACTGTCTGCTGGACTTTGTCTACTATCTACTATTGCTGTCTACTGGACTTTTTTTTACTATCTACTGTTACTGTCTACTGGGGTTGGTCTTCTATCTACTATTACTGTTCAGTGGAGTTTGGCTACCATCTACTATTACTGTCTACTGGAGTTTGTCCACTTTGTACTATTACATCGTATAATTACATTCTACTTTCTACTGTTATTTTCTTCTTTCTACTATCTCACCTAACTTTCGGTCAACCTTCCCGGACTTTAACAGTACTGGAGTGAGCGGGTCCCTGCCTGGGGGTCCCGTCATTACATGGTAAAAGAACAGTTGAGTATTGCAGGTACTACACGGCACTAGAGAGGACTTGGTTCTTTGACCACTGCAGCGATGCCCATCTCAAGGTGTGGGAAGCCAACGTGGCCGTCCACAAGCGGGGGATTGAACTCATCCGGCCGGGTGCCAAGTGTTCTGAGATTGCCCAAGAACTAAACGAAATGTTTGCCCAGTTCGGCCTTCTGAAGTACCGCATGTTTGGCTACGGTCATTCCTTCGGTGTCCTCAGCCACTACTACGGGCGTGAGGCTGGTGAGTCATGTTCTAACAACTCTTTATTTGATGATCGTAGATATAGCTTGTGTGTCAGATTTTTTATGATACCTTACAATGTGTGCAATACAAGTTGACCTTCATTTCTATATATACAAGATAATGAACACAAACTAATGTATTAATATTAATGTTTGATAAACCATACGCTACTTGTTCACCAACACCTTGATTAACTCTCGCAACATCTTTCTAGTACATTTTAACAACACGTAAATTCAACTTCTGCCTCACAAAGAGCAGCAGTTTCCCACACTCACATTCAGTTTATATGTTAGAAGGCCCTGCATAAGTTACCATGTTTAAACATTATAGTATATTATTTCCAGCTCAATTTATCACCGACAGAAGAACAAGCAAACTTTTGCTGCTGAACATCTCCTTAGTTAAATTGTTAATTAGTTTTTATCGGACAATATTCTTAGAACACATTCTCTATACTGTTGGTTATGTCCTGTTGAGTCTGCCGTGTTGAGTACTGTTAAGTGTGTCCTGTTGAGTACTGTTGTGTGTACCCTTTTGAGTACTGTTGGTTGTGTCCTGTTGAGTACTGTTAAGTGTGTCCTGTTAACTTTGTGAAGTCCTATTGAGTGTGTCCTGTTCAGAACTGTCGAGTAGTACTGAGTGTGTTCTGTGGAATAGATAAGAACATAAGAATGGAGGAAACTGCAGCGGTCCTATTGGCCCATACTGGGTCTCACAAGCGCAAGATATAGTCTTAGGATGACCTCGTTAGTCTTGTAACTAAAGCATTTTTATATGAACCCAAGTACTTTATTAGCCTTGTTTCGATAAATTACGCATCTTGGTTTAAGATTCCTACTCATCATTACCCTAGATATATATATCAGAGTCGGATTTCTCTGTCACCGTTCTTCACATATCTGGTTTCTCTATTTACATCTCCTAGGTTAAGTACTTTACACTTTTCCACATTAAATTTCATCTGCCATTTTTCAGATCATGCAAAATATTTTTTCAGATCTTCCTGTAGTTTTACCGAGTCCTCGTCAAATTTAATTACCCGCTCTATTTTTGTGTCATCAACAAATTTACTTATGGTGCTGTAGGGGTATCGAGATATTAATGTTGTCTAGCACTCAGGATGGAAGGAAACTCTACATGTGGTTTTCTTGTATAATATATAAGTTATATGATAGACAGTCTGGTGCTGGAGGTGCTGTGTGGTGAGGGGCTGCTTGGTAGAGACGTGCGGTGAGTAGCTTGTTGAAGGAGGTAGATGTGCAGGAGCTTCGTTAGAGAAGATGTTGCCTGTTGCTGGCCTCCTGGTTGAATGAATGCTGGACAGCTAGGAGCTTGCTGGAGGAGGTGTTGCGTGTTCAGGAAAATGGGCAGAATGAGAGTTGGTTGGTGAGGAAGCTCAGAGAAGGACATGCTCGCTGGCGGGAGCGAAGACCGCCAGGCAGGCGAGGAGATGCGAGGGGCAGCCAGGCAGCGGCGGAGGAGGAGGTGTTGCTTGTTCAGGAAGAATGGTCTGACTGAATCTCAATGGAGAGACAGAGCTTATATACACCCAGCAGCGGCTATGAGTCATGGTGGGAAAACCCGAGAAGTAGCCGGTGAATAGTTCCGTTGCTAAGATACGGCGGGCATTGGAATGCGGATACGCTTGGTTGCTAGGGAAGGCGGCACATTGGAATGTGATGGCAGGTGGTGGGCTGCTACGCAGTTAGTTTGTAGGGGAGACATCCACTACAATACTCCCCCTCCCCTCCAGGCGGTGTAGGAGACTTGTTGTTTGTAGAGTTGCTTAGCACATGTGAGGAAGACCGGGCGGTGCATGCCTCATGTGAGACAACGGCGATGGCGTGATGAGCCGATCGCTGAAATACAACTGTCTAGATACACACGATCTGTGGGAGAAGGGAGAAAAAGGGTGTGTGGAGGCGATGAATGTTCTTCCCTCACGACAGGTACAGGGTCGTCAGATGCGCCTGCTGGGGTGTGTGTGGGCCTGGATCAGGAGCAGGGGCTGGGTCAGCAGAAGCGGATTAGGGCTCGTGACAGCAGCTGGGTCCACGACAGCAGCAGGGTGCAGGACATTAGCAGGGAGTACCTGAGGGAGAAAAGAGGGGGTGTGGAGGCGATGGATGTTGTGTGCTTCCCTCACGGCAGGTACTGCTGGGTCGGCGTCTGAGGCAGGACGGGTGTGCTGGGGTCGTCAGAATGTGGTGCGTGAGGCAGGAAGAGGAGCTGGTGTCTGCTTGAAGAGTGGGAGCGTGATCAGTGTCTCCTCCATCCTGTGTGAGTGCTAATCTCCGGGAGTCACCATTGTAGGGGTATCGAGATATTAATGTTGTCTAGCACTCAGGATGGAAGGAAACTCTAATGTGGTATTCTTGTATAATATATAAGTTATATGATAGACAGTCTGGTGCTGGAGGTGCTGTGTGGTGAGGGGCTGCTTGGTAGAGACGTGCGGTGAGTAGCTTGTCGAAGGAGGTAGATGTGCAGGAGCTTCGTTAGAGAAGGTGTTGCCTGTTGCTGGCCTCCTGGTTGAATGAAATGTTAACAGCGTGGAGCTTGCTGGAGGAGATGTTGCTTGTTCAGGAAGATGGGCCAGAATGAGAATTGGTTGGTGAGGAAGCTCAGAGAAGGACATGCTCGCTGGCGGGAGCGAGGACCGCCAGGCAGGCGAGGAGATGCGAGGGGCAGCCAGGCAGCGGCGGAGGAGGAGGTGTTGCTAGTTCAAGAAGAATGGTCTGACTGAATCTCAAGGGAGAGACAGAGCTTATATACACCCAGCAGCGGCTATGAGTCATGGTGGGAAAACCCGAGAAGTAGCCGGTGAATAGTTCCGTTGCTAAGATACGGCGGGCATTGGAATGCGGATACGCTTGGTTGCTAGGGAAGGCGGCACATTGGAATGTGATGGCAGGTGGTGGGCTGCTACGCAGTTAGTTTGTAGGGGAGACATCCACTACAGTGCTCTCTTCGTCTATACAGTACGATGTCATTTATGTTACCCAATTGGATTTGGTGCCATTAAAGCTTACTTACTATGTTTCCTGTCCTTTAACCACGCCCTAATCCAATTTAGAATATCTATCAATGCCATGTGCCTCCACTTCACATATTATCTTTCGTGGGGGACCCTGTCAAAGGCTTTGCTAAAGTCGAGGTAAAGTACAGCATAATCGTGTCCAGCATACACTGATTCGAAAATATTTGAAAAGAATGATAATAGATTGTCAGACATGAACGCCCACTTGTGAAGCCATGATGGGAATCATTGATCAACTTGTGTTTCTTCAAGTGATTTCGAATTGTGTTTGAAATTATTGTTCACAGCAATTTTCCTACAATTGATTTTAAACTGATTTGACAGTCCTTAGAGATTATTGATCTATATCCCAATTTTCAACATTACTGTTAAGTGAGTCCTATTAAATGCTATTGAGTATGTCCTGTTGAGTACTGTTAACTGCATCTTGTTGAGTATTACCAAGTACTGTTGAGTACTATTGAGTATGTCCTGTTGAGTATTACCAAGTACTGTTGAGTACTATTGAGTGTGTCCCATTGACTACTGTTGAGTGTGTCCCATTGACTACTGTTGAGTGTGTCCCATTGACTACTGTTGTGTGTGCCCTGTTGAGTACTGTTGTGTGTGCCCTGTTGAGTACAGTTGTGTGTACCCTGTTGAGTACTGTTGTGTTTGCCCTGTTGAGTACTGTTGTGTGTGCCCTGTTGAGTACAGTTGTGTGTGCCCTGTTGAGTACAGTTGTGTGTGCCCTGTTGAGTACAGTTGTGTGTACCTTGTTGAGTACTGTTGTGTGTGTGTGTGTGCTGTTGTGTGTGCCCTGTTGAGTACTGTTGTGTGTGCCCTGTTGAGTACTGTTGTGTGTGCCCTGTTGAGTACTGTTGTGTGTGCACTGTTGAGTACTGTTGTGTGTGTCCTGTTGAGTACTATTGTGTGTACCCTGTTGAGTACTGTTGTGTGTACCCTGTTGAGTACTATTGAGTGTGTCCTGTTCAGTACTGTTGAGCGTCGTGTTCAGTATTGTGGTGTGTCCAGTTGAGCATTATTGAGTGTTCTGTTGAGTACTATTGAGTGAATCTTGTCGAGTACTTTACTTTTGAGTATGTCTGGTTGAGTACCTTTGAATGTGCCCTGCTGAGTAGTGTTCTGTATGTCCTGTTGAACACAGTTGAGGGAGTCCATTGTAAGCTTGTTTAATTCTATTGAGTGTGACCCTGTTGAGTACTATTGATTGTGACCCTGTTGGGTACTATTGAATGTGACCTTGTTGAGTGTGTGGTGGACAAGAGGAGGTTTATTGTATGTGGGCAGCCAAAACGGCCTTGGTTAGTTTCAAGTGTAAGTATCCTGTACGTGACAGGCGAGAGGAGGTACACCTTATGTGCCTATGGACTATGTGTGGCGGACAACAGGTGTACTGTATTTCGTGTCAAAATTCACTGAAATGCAGATAATAAATTATGAACATGTTTAGTTTGAGGTGATGATATTGGGTATAAACCTATCATGATCCTCCTGTTGATGGTCACCAAATATGAAACAAATCAGATGTTATTTGACTGAGTAATGGAAGGAACACTTCAATTTAGTACGAGTTTCTTCACTCGGCTAACATTTGGTGGCGGGAAATAACAACAGTTATATGTTGACAGATCTGGAGCTACGTGAGGATATAGACACAGTACTGGAGCCTGGCATGGTTGTGTCTATGGAGCCCATGGTGACCATCCCCGAGGGCGAGCCAGGCGCCGGCGGCTACCGGGAACATGACATACTTGTCATTAACGATGACGGTACCGTAGATGACATCACTGGCTTCCCCTTCGGACCAGAACATAATATATTTAAGAAATAAACCTTTGTTCACTGACAGTAAATTCACGTATTTATTCAATCCATATTAGGAAACAATAGGCTATATAACTTAACATTACACAAAACTGTACACAATCAAGTAAATGAGATTCATAGAACTATCTGAGATTGTGTCTCGAAGGTTGAAAAATGTGCTATAATGTCAACATCTGAAACTTCCCCACATGTATCCAACCCTGTATGTGTGCATGATGTAAATTAATGAAGCTGCCAGACCCAGAGGAATGGTACATGTTATGGAGCTTCAAAACAAATTGTGTTTGTGATATAACTTTTGTTCATAACAAAATCTTCATATTCTTAAGAGCAAAGTAAATGCTGTATGACACACAACTATGGTTATGATACGTGAGAGACACTCAACATAATGAGTGCGTTTACTCTTTGTTTACTTATGTCCTTCTAGTTTTAGAAGACAAATTAAAATATAATCATTGTCTATCAGACTAAAGCGTCCAGCCTAGAACAACAACAAAGCGTATAGCAGTAACTAGCTATATTTCTTTGTTATTAGTAGTAAGCGTTTGTAAATATGGTTATACATTTTAAGTTTCTCAACTTCAATCATGAACTATTCCGTAATTAAAAGGGGCTGCATTCAATTCATACATTACACCGTAGTTGGAGTTGTTCTCGATACTAATTTAAGAACCATACAGGGTATATTGTAATACTCTTTAAACACTGTAGTACACTAACACACAACACTATGGTACACTAACACACAACACTGTGGTACACTAACACACAACACTGCAGTACACTAACACACAACACTGTGTTGCACTAACACACAACACTATAGTACACTAACAAACAACACTGTCGTGCACTAACACACAACACTGTGGTACACTAACACACAACACTGGAGTACACTAACACAACACTGTGGTGCACTAACACACAACACTGTGGTACACTAACACTCAACACTGTGTTGCACTAACACACAACACGTAGGTGCATAACAAACAACACTGGTACACTAATACACAACACTGTGGTGCACTAACACACAACACTATGGTACACTAACACACAACACTGTGGTACACTAACACACAACACTGCAGTACACTAACACACAACACTGTGTTGCACTAACACACAACACTATAGTACACTAACAAACAACACTGTGGTGCACTAACACACAACACTGTGGTACACTAACACACAACACTGGAGTACACTAACACAACACTGTGGTGCACTAACACACAACACTGTGGTACACTAACACACAACACTGTGTTGCACTAACACACAACAGGTAGGTACATAACACACAACACTGGTACACTAATACACAACACTGTGGTGCACTAACACACAACACTGTAGTACACTAACACACAACACTGTAGTACACTAACAAACAACACTGTAGTACACTAACACACAACACTGTAGTACACCAACACACAACACTGTAGTACACCAACACACAACACTGTAGTACACTAACACACAACACTGTAGTACACTAACACACAACACTGTAGTACACTAACACACAACACTGTAGTACACTAACACACAACACTGTAGTACACCAACACACACTGTAGTACACCAACACACAACACTGTAGTACACTAACACACAACACTGTAGTACACCAACACACAACACTGTAGTACACTAACACACAACACTGTAGTACACTAACACACAACACTGTAGTACACTAACACACAACACTGTAGTACACTAATACACAACACTGTGGTACACTAACACACAACACTGTAGTACACTAACACACAACACTGTGGTACACTAATACAAAACACTGTAGTACACTAACACACAACACTGTGGTGCACTAACACACAACACTGTGGTGCACTAACACACAACACTGTGGTACACTAATACACAACACTGTAGTACACTAACACACAACACTGTGGTGCACTAACACACAACACTGTAGTACACTAATACTACAACACTGTAGTCTTTCGCTTACACAACACTGTATTCACATATTACACAACACTGTAGTACACTAACACACAACACTGTAGTACACTAACACACAACACTGTAGTACACTAACACACAACACCAGCAGTACACTAACACACAACACTGTGGTACACTAATACACAACACTGTAGTACACTAACACACAACACTGTGAGTGCACTAACACACACAACACTGTGGTACACTAACACACAACACTGTGGTACACTAACAAACAGCACTGTGGTACACTAGCGCACAACACTGTGGTACACTGGCACACAACACTGTAGTATACTAACACACAACACTGTGGTATACTAACACACAACACTGTGGTACACTAACACACAACACTGTGGTACACTAACACAACACTGTAGTACACTAACACACAACACTGTGGTACACTAACACAGAACACTGTAGTTGACTAACACATAATACTGTGGTACACTAACACACAACACTGCAGTACACTAACACACATCACTGTAGTACAGTAACACACAACACTGTGGTGCAGTAACACACAGCACTGTTGTACACTAACACACAACACTGTGGTACACTAACACACAACACTGTGGTACACTAACACACAACACTGTAGTACACTAACACACAACACTGTAGTACACTAACACACAACACTGCAGTACAGTAACACACAACACTGTAGTACACTAACACACAACACTGTAGTACACTAACACACAACACTGTGGTACACTAACACACAACACTGTGGTACACTAACACACAACACTGTAGTACACTCAACACACAACACTGTGGGGTACACTAATACACAACACTGTAGTACACTAACACACAACACTGTGGTACACTACCACAACACTGTGTACACTAATACACAAACACTGTAGTACACTAACAC